TGGTGAGAGATAAAGGGCACGGTGTGGAGAGCTACGAACGGACTGCGAGTCGAGTTCGTCGATGGAGACGACGTGGAAAGGGTCTAGGCTGGATTGCAGAGATGAGCGCAGGACGAGAAGTGCGAATCAGGGCACGACGTCGTGAGAAAAGACAATGGAAGCGCGGGTCAGCGGCACACCAGAAGCCCACCGCTCGAACCGGTGACCACGTTGCCTTTTTGGGATGTGTGATCGGCAGCAATAGGAAGCAATTCATACTCAATGATCGTTGTTTAGATCTCTCCATCATGCATGCATCGACTCGGCGGTGTGGGTCTCGCGGCCTTCGACAGGCAGGAGCAGTCCTATAAATCATTCGCAGCACTTTCATCGACGCTCTCGCAGACTCAAATCGACAATTTACACGCCCAACTCGACCAGTTTCGCACCGCTCTCGCGGGCTTTGCAGCTGAACATCGCGACGATATCAAACGCGATCCCACTTTCAGACATGCCTTCCAACAGATGTGCTCGTCTATCGGTGTCGATCCCCTCGCTGGCCCTCGCAAGGGCGGTTGGTGGTCTGAGATGATTGGGTTGGGGGACTGGCAGCACGAGCTCGGCGTTCAGATTGTCGACATCTGCGTCAGCACCCGCGATCGCAACGGTGGTCTTATCGAGATGTCGGAGTTAGTCCGCCTTCTTAGCAAGCTGCGCGGCGTCAGCGACGGTGCAGTCACCGAGGACGATATCGTCCGGAGCATAAAGACTCTCAAATTACTTGGAGCCGGCTACGAGGTTGTCAATGTGGCCGGTCGCAAGATGGTACGCAGCGTCGCGAAGGAACTTGATGAGGACCAAGCCCTTGTTCTCGCTTTGGCTCAGGACATGGGTGGCAGAATCACCGAACACGACATCATCTCAAGGTATCAGTGGATTCCGGACCGTGCCCGCGCTGCGCTGGAGAACATGCTCTACCGGGATGGTCTCTGCTGGATAGATGATCAGGACTCGGAAGGCGGAAGGGTGTACTGGATTGCGTCCGTAATGCAGTGGGACGATTAGGTATGATTTCTCGTGATGCAGAAGGCGACGATTATATCCAATGATATATGGTTACAAACCAGACCTTACGATTAATGCTCGTACTATATACTATAAGGCCTCCTGGCTCGTGCGTTGTGACATCTCAACATCATCGACCGACGTGCTTCCAAGGGTGGGCGAGGCCGCACGGCCGGTATCATCTGCAGACGATGTTATTGCAGCGCACCAATCCTTCGACAAGACATACCTTTTGGCTCGTCTGTAATCATCGATGAACCGCCCGTCATGTTCTGCGTGGCAAACTTCACGGTTTTGACACCCAAAGTCCGTAGGTTGATAAGCACCAAAACACCCGTTTGTGAAAAGCTGGGCACCATCACTATCCGGCATCGTGCCTGGTCTTCCTCATCCCCGCCCTTCGATTTAGCCCTAGCCTGGTCGGCATTGGCCGAAACCATCTTCGTCGCGAACCGCTTTTGATTTCCCACGATGCAAATGTGCGGGCATGTCTGCAGCATGAATGGGTCAGCCGTGAAATATGGGTGACACCATAGTGTATCTGGCGCGGTCGGTGCCATATGTCGCCACCTCAACGTCGATTCGAGGATGCTGAGCCGCGTGTGCGGCGGCGAGGGAAGATACTTGAACAGGTCGTTCAATGGCTGTCCAGAGTTGATGAGAATGTCTCTTACGACACGCCGTCGTGACGTGTTTGTGGTCCCTACGCGCACGTATGTAGGGTTCGTTTCACAACGAAAAGAGTCGAAGTTCGAGACGTCGCCGAACATGCGCCTAGGTAAGGCTTGTTGCGGAAGAATGGCTCCCGCAGGGTCCGTTTCCCCTGGCAAAATGTGCACAGGCATCGCGCGGCCAACATCAAGTAAATGGGAGGATAATGTTTTGAGTGGATGAGGCGAAAAAGTCGAAGTCTCTTGTCCGTAGCGCTTCTAGGCAATATAGTGTCAGAAATTGCACTCAACGACATTGAAAGTATAAAAACCAGTGGCCGATGAAAACAAGTGTTACTTCTCACCGATTTTTTGTCTTCGTTTAATTCTGTTGGCTCGATCGGCGCAAGAGAATTACCCGCGATGATGAGTCGCGAGATGCACGACGCAGTTTGCTCGTCTGTGACGCCGCCTTGTTCGCCCGTGAGATACTCAACGAGAAGCTGAATGGACGCCTCGGATGCAGTAGCTTCAGATCCAATATCGAGACCTGAAATAACACCTATCCATTCGTCCTGTGGTTGCTTATCCTCTACAGACATGCGGTGTGAAGAACTGGCTTGGCAATGGCTATAAAAGGTTATACTCACGGTCAACATCCATGTCCACATCCTGGTCGTCGTCCTCAACGGGTGTGTGTTCTGGCATACCTGCACTGCAGACGCTCACGACTTCGAATTCACCACTTGGGGTCTCGGCTCCAAGCACGGCGACTACGATACCCGTTACGAGGCGAGCGTCCTTCACATGCTCTCCGACGAGTTGTATACGCCCAGACTCGTCCTCCAACATGATCTCGTCGTCTTCGGAGCATATTTTCCGTTGCGGTGGTAGTGTAGGTAACGAACGCTAATATCGAGCATCATGGAGAATCAGTGTAGCAGTCCGGACATCATAGATACGTACGTCTCGGGCGATGTCTTCCAGCACGTTTGGCTTTAGGGGCATCTCCATGTAAACTGTACCAACGATATAACACAGTTTCGACTTGACGACATCGAGAACGCGTGGAACGAGAACAGGGCTACCTAGTGGTATCCAGGACCAATTCAGTATATATACTAAAACCAACGCACGAAAGCCCACACACCATCGATATTTTTCCATCGTGCCTCTGCCGCTTGGCAGACAGTATCCTTGAGCAATCTTAGACGCACGAAATATATGTTGGAATATTGATGCTTGTAAGACCTATTCTTTTGGTCTATCACGAAAGATGGGGTGTTCTTCGGCGGTTCTAGCACGACACTTGTGGCACGATGGCGCAGCGAGGTGGGCACAGCTCTAGTGGAAAGACATGAGTAGAACGCGTGTCTCTTTAAATCAACAGCACAGACATGGACTCCATAGTAGTCTGGCTTGATCAAACGCCACAAAAACGCGTTGTTCCAGAGTCCAGCGTCAATCGAACCTCTCAGACTATGATATACAACTCGAAAGACGGTGGTGCAATAGAGATTTCAAAGCTATTCCCAAACCAAGCTTTTAGGGAAAAGGGAATCTCAGGAAAGCGTACAGATGCAAGCATAGGCGGTTCTTCAGAGCTTCAGAGTCAGACGTGACAAGCTCTTGACGCGTCACGCGGTACGCGCAACGTGATCACGTGATGTGACGACGGCCACAGTACGCGCTTTCTCATGATCAGTCTTCCGCTTCCTGGGTATTCTCAGCTTTATATTATTTCTTACTCTACATTGAACCCGACGCTGGTTTATAAACTTCTCGTATCATGTTCGGCAATCCTAACGCTGCGTACGTGGACACTGTGACTGTGTTCGCCGTCGCTGAATGGTCGCTTCAACATCTTCCCCTTTGACAGAAAGTCTACAGATTCCCCAGACAATGTCAGGAGAAATCATGCTACTGTGCTTGGACACCAAATGTCAGCTAGCGCGAACGGAAGGTGCTTACTTCAGTCGCGTCGTCGTCCAAACATTTCATTAGATTCCCTATTTTGTTGACAATAAAGGAGTATCGAGGAGCTCGTGAAAAGGTGCGTTTCTGACATGGGAGGTTTGAAAACATCTCTGACTTATTCAAGCAATGATCGTTTGAGTGGTGTAAGTTTTTCTAACAACACCGCAATGTTGATATTCATTGACCGGCAAATTCTCTCAGGTCGAAGCTCAGCGGCTGAGGTCGTACTTCACTTCAAATTACATGATTCCTAGCCGTGACTTCGATGTTTATGGTAAAATGCTTTTGGCCGGAAACCTCGATGCCATAAGGGAACATTTCCAGGCTCAGACCCAGCTCCTTACAGCTGATGGCGTTGCACCCGAAGCCGCGCGCACAGAGGTGGCGAAGAAACTCGCCGCCATTCGTTACGGGCCGACCAAGGCCCCGATTTTCAACTGCCTTCTTCTCCTCATACAGCTCGTGCCACACAATCGCGACCTCTATATGGCGCTCGCGCGTTGGTACATCGACACTGTGCATCTCCCCGTCGACGAGGCCGACTTGTCAGGCAGTAGCGCTCTCATGCACTCGATATCCACCAAACCCGCATTCGAGCCCGAGTTCGCCCAGCTCCTTTTTGACGGTGGCGCGAACGTCAATATGCGCAATCGTTACGGGGCAACGCTTGTCGCCGAGGTCCTCATGATTTGGGAATTCAAGGCTGAGGGCACGGTTCAACGAGCCGCGGATGCTCTTCAGTGGTTTCTATGTCACGGTGGCGATCTGGATATCGCCGACGGCGATGGAATGGCGCCTCGGACTATGCTACAGACTAGCCTGCGGGTGTCTCCGCACGCACATCTCTTGAAGTCAGTCCTCGACAGGGAGGAGTCGAAGCGAAAGGCTCGCATCGGAAAAATGGATTGTTGCCAGAGCTGTGGGGAGAAGGAAAGGAAATTGCTCAGGTGTTCTAGGTGTAGGAAGGTGACCTATTGTGCACCTCCACGCAGTTGTCAGAAGGCTCACTGGCAGCGACACAAGGCGCATTGCAAAACGTAATAAGTAATGCAATGCGCCTCTTAGAGTCTTTCGCGTTACATGTGGCTATTCTTGTTCTGCCCTCCCAACTATCTAGAGCTCCAATATTACTCTTCCTCTGGAGATTACATATCTCGTTAGACTCTTCAATGTATAAGAGGCATTCTGCTATTCTGAACTTGGAGAGCTCTTGAATGATGATTGCATAAGACACGTTGTGTACGTGCCCATCTTTTTCAACTACTGTAGTAGACCACTCGATTTCCCCCAGCAAAAAAAAATATGTTTCGCTTTCCCTGATAGTGAATGTGCATCAAGAGGGAATTGAACCCCCCAGCGGGTCGAATGCCAATCGGTACATAGGGGTGTGGCAACGACCCAGGTTACCAGTAACCCATCGATGCGCAGTAAATAATACATAAAAGGTCTAAATACACATTTAGATATTATTAAATCGACAACGAAGTCCTTATACTCCCATCTCCACGCACACACGGAGTCAGGTTGAAAGACGCGCGCGAGTACAGTATCCCTCTCCTACGCGGCTATCAACAAGCCGGTCATAGTAAAGACCATATAATAAGTATATATTGCTGGACCTATCGGTTACTGATGTCATAGAAGGGACACCCAATTCTAGCAGTGAGAGCCTGATTGAATAACGATATAGAACGACAACAGAATCGCACCCAACGTCTCTATTGACACATAAGACAAGAACAAACCAGTATCTTCTACGAATCCAGTCCATGATTCCACGATAGCCGTCCGCGACATCCACAAACGTCGTCGCGGCCCAAATATTGCCATAGTCATCGAATATCAGGGAAGCGCACAGTCGGAGAGGGCGTCCTCGTCGTGTTAATATGCGCCGGTGCCGTTTGCAGCGGCTGCTCTGGACATGAGCCAGACACATGATCATGCTGATGCAGACGCACGGCTTTGGACGAAATGGTCTCCCTCTCTGGTGTTCTTAGTCTGGACTGCTGCTGCTGCCCTTTAGCGACATTGGAAGAAGAGAGGGCGCTTTGGCCGTCAGCAACATCAGAGGTCATCGAACGCACGGTGGGCGATGCTGAGCTGGCGCGGATAGTCAAGACAGGATCGTCATGTCGAATCCAAAACAACCAATCGGGAGTCTGAGCTACTATGGTAGCAGATCTCGAAATCGAGAGAGTCCTGGAGATGGACCTGCTGAATGAAAAGCCTGGTATAGATAGGCCATCTGCATCACAACAAGACGATATGAGAGATGATACGCGGAGAGACAAACCCAATTTCATGATACTGACGAACGATAATAGAACAAAGGACGATGGACGACACGACAGGCTGGATGCACGCCGCCAACCATTCAGTTTGGTTGGCTGGTGTGCCATCCGTTATGTGGCCACCGAGTTGCACCAAGGCAAACTGCTGGATATACACGGCGCCGACACCCATAGGCCCGAAATGCCCGACAAAAAGCGCCTCTTTCCACGAAGTGATCTCGGGAACGAACCGGTACAGCATCATAACGCATGGTATGCGACGCAAGAAGAGTATGCAGATTGCGAGCACAACGAGACGCCATGGGGTTATTCCGAGATCAGGGGAGTTCCACGTGTGGAACGGCAGCCAAGAGCCAATGTACACAAAGCAGGCGCAATTGAGAATGAGATCGATGACCGAAGCGAATACTTCTCCTTCGACGTGAGCATTGAAATCACCATCCCACGATATGGTATAACCTGTAAGGCCAATCAGGAAATGGGTGTAAAACAAGACATTCGGAGATGCGCCGCACCAGCTGCAAAGGCGGCCAGAAGATCATCAAGGCCCAGTGTCTTGGCAATGCCAATCGTCAGGATGGCTAGGGCCAAAAACTGTGCAACGTAGGACTCGCGATCAATGAAACCCTTGCGATGGGCAAACTTCATCGAGTATGAGAAAAGAAGACCTACCGAACGTCAACAAAGTCCAAGAATAAATCAAGAGAACTTACCTATAACTGCGCCAAACATGATACCAAGTATGACCTGATCTACCACAGTTGTCGGGTATACTCGTAAGGGAAAAAAAGGCAAGGTCTCACATAACAATCCTACGAGAAGCCATTTCCCGACCGCAGCACGAACCGACGAGCTCAGAGTGAGATATATACATATCATAAGGAATGGGTACGCCAGGCCGTCATTCGCAGCCGCCTCAGCCGAGATGATGTGCCGTATGTTCAGTGGCACATTTTTTACAGCAAACTTGCCGCCTGGAAATTTTTCGTCAACGGCAATCAGGCATAAATCCAACATAACATACCGACAATGGCCGCAGAGACAATGGGATCGGTGGGCGTAAGGCATGCAGCAATGCCGAGACATGATACATAAGAAAGCTGGGGGAACAAACCGTACATAATGGCTGTAAAAGTTATTTAGGTAAAGGCGGCGACGGCAGTGATGTATGAATGATGTATGAAAGATCAGTGACGCGAGGCTTACCAGCAACGACGACCCAACCGATTGCCATAGTAGGAACGACCAGAACGAGTAAGCCCTTGGCATGCCTCGTCATGTACGACTGGGGTAGTTCGACGCCGATGGCGAAAAGGCCAGTCGCAAGAACGACTCGCATGACTTCGAGCGTGATCTTGTCCGTTTCAGAGCCCCAAGACCTGGGATTAAAGGCGTTTGCCACATAAGGCCCCATAAGTATGCCGAAACCAGTACCAAGGACAACTTCACTGATGTAGAGCTGTTATGTATAAATGAGGTGGAGGAGAGGAGCAAAAACTGGCATGGGCGCCCACCCTTTCTCTGATCAGTAGAGACATCATTGAGAACTGAGAAACATTGAAAATGCTGACTACACTGCGGAACGTTTGGGACGCACGGCGACCACAAATCCCCCTACAGCGATGTACGCCAGGCCTGGCTCGGAAACCTACAGATAGTGTAGGTCATCAAAATGCGGATCTAGTGGAACACAGACATCTAGCAGCCCCATCTTCAATGTGAACACCCAAGCTTTCAACTGATTCAACGTAGACAGGAAGAGGGTAAGAGAAAAGCAAATCTTGTAGACTCACATGCACCGTGACTGCCTTAAGTATACATCTGAAATAAGGTTATAGTCGAATAGGTAATATTGCATCAGGCGTAATAATGCATACTGGCAACCGTGCAAGTGAAATCCGTGTAACGCGCAGAGTGGTCATCATTGCGGGGGTTGATGGGAAACCTGTCGTATTCGAAGCATTCGATTGACGAGACATCCCGATCGCAAGCGAGGCCACTCAAAATGAAATCCAAATGAAATCAATGTTCCACGGCTTCTGCTCGTTGTCCTCACCATGCCCGCCTGTTGCCTCGCATTTTCTTTGAGGGCGTGAAGGAGCTTCACATCCGCAGATGAAAGAGGGTTGGGTGCGGCGGGAGCGTGATTGGACGATGAAGGCTGTTCAGGCGGTTGGTTGGTTGGAATTTCATCCGTCATGTTATTACCGACCTGCTCCAAGGCAAACCGCCGGATACACACAGCACCGACGCCGATAGGTCCGAAATGCCCAACAGAAAGCGACTCTTTCCACGACGTAATCTCGGGAACGAACCGGTACAGCATCATAACGCAAGGTATGCTGCGCAAAAAGAGGATACAAATTGCGAACACAACGAGAGGCCATGGTGTTATCCCAAGTTCGGAAGAGTCCTAAGTGTCGGGCGGTAGCCAAGCGCCAATGTACACAAAACAAGCACAGTTGAGCAAGAGATCGAGGAACGAAGAGAATACTTCTCCGATGTGATCCTTAAAATCGCCATCCCACGTTATGGCGGAGCCTGTAAAATCAATGAGATGGATGGAAAGCAGGACGTTTGGAGATGTGACGCACTCGTGGCAAAGGCGGCGAAAAGATCATCGAAATCCAGTACCTTTGCAGCGTCAACCGCCAAGAAGGCTAGGACCAAAAGCTGTGCAACGCGGGACTTGCGGTCAATGAAATCCCTGTGATCGGAGAATTTCATCAAGTGTGAAAAGACAAGACCTACGGAACGTTAGCAGAACCCAGGAACAAATCAAGAGACCGTACCTACTACCTAATATTGAGTCCAAAATGACACCAAGTATGACTTGATCTACCACAATTGTTAGACTATGTAGTTCATAAAAGAAAAATGGCAAGATCTCACATGACAATCCCACGAGAAACCATGTCCGGATCGCAGCACGAACCAACGAGCTTAGAGATAAATATATGGATATCGCGAGGAAGGGGTATACCAGACCATCATTAACATTTGCAGCCGACTCAACACAGATGATTTAATGTGTTTTCAGTGGCGTCCATTTTTATGTAATGGCAAACTTGCCGCCTGAGGAAGTTTCGTCAGCAGGAAACGGATATGACAGATCCAGCTTAACATACCAACAATAACCGCAGAGATAATAAGATTGGTGAGCGTAAGGCATGCGGCAATGCCGAGACATGGTACATAAGAAAGCTGGGGGAACAGACCGTACATGATGGCTGTAAAGATTATTTAGGTAAGGCGGCGTTGGCAGCGACAGATGAAAGGTCACAGTGAAGCGAGCAGCGACAATCTAACCGATTGTCATGGTGGGGACGACCACGACGAATAAGCCCTTACCATGCTTCACCACGTACGACCCGGGCAGTATGGCGAAGAGGCCAACTGCGAGAACAAATCGAGCGTGATCTCATCTCAGATATCTAGTCTCAAAGGCGGGATCTGGGATTGAAATCGTGTGTCACCGTAAGTATGCTGAAACCAGTACAATACCACTGTACCAAGAACAACTTCGTTGATGTAAAGCTGTTAAGCACAAATGAAGCGGAGTAAAAGGTCAGAAACTAGTATGGACGCTCACCTTTTCTAATTTGATCAATGAAGAGATCATTGAAAACTGCGAAACATTTGATAGGCTAGCTGCACCATAGGGCGTTTGGACGCGCGGCGAGAACAAATCCCACGGCAACGATGTACGCCAGGCCAGGCGCGGTGACCTACAGATAGGCGAGTGGATCTGGTATACTCACAAACATGCAGGCTACGATCGAACAAATAAATTTCGGGGCTCAATCCCCCTGTTGTATAAATCCTGTACACAAGCTCGCAGATATTGTAGAACGCAGACCAGGGTGTGTATTACTGAAGAACGTAAACAGAATGTCCCGCTTTTTATATACAAGATGTATGAAGCCACCGACCCCTCACTTGCTCTAGGAAGACTGCAGAGCGAGAATGGGTGCTAAGACGCTCCAAATCACTCGGAACACGGCCTGACACTCGAACAAACAGCATGGAAAGACCACAAGTGGCGCCGTTATGAGCAACAGGGGAAACAGTCGGCCGTGTCGCCGCACAAAGAAAAAAGAAAAAGCGTTGACGCGCATTTTTTATATCAGACT